ACAAACATTTAAATAAGAGTCTACAAAAGATATGTATCCAAAAAGACAGGTGAAATAACCATAAATAGTCTGTATTTGCAAACGTTTTGCTGTTTGTTTAGACGAGTCATCAGTGCACACATAGAAGTTTAGTATAAGTGTGATGGAGCAACCTGAGGCTTTGTTAAAGCCTCTTCCTTCTCTGCAGTAATTTGGACACACCTGCCTTGACTGACTGATTGAATTCCTGTGGGTTAGAACTCTACTGGTAGAAAAGGGATCAGCTGATTAGCCCTGTGCTTGATGGGAACATTACTTAAGAGTAGCAGTAACCATTAAAACAGCAGTCTGGTACCCTTTTAACTCAGGGTGGAAGAGTGTTAGTGAATTCCTGAATTTTAGTGAGATTACAAAGGAATTACAAAGTGCCATGTCATGCTGTGCCATGTCCAGTTCAGGTTTTGGAAGTTAAAGACATCATGAAGACTTGTAAGGATTTTGTTAGGCATGGAATTTAGTGAATAAAAATGGATCCAGAGTTGTCTTTGTGGTGTTTGAAGTTTAAATTATCTGTAGTCTTTATAGCTGGAGCACCAGAGGGTAAGGTGTGCCAATAGGTCGCACAAGAGATTGAACATTGTAAGAGGGGCTGTGGAAGGGTGAGCCTGGTTCAGTGCGCCAGGGATTCCAGGGAATGAAAGTAATGTTTACAGTAGCTCTGGGGGTCAACATTCATCACAATACTGTAGGTCATCTGAAAATATGTTTTTTTTTTTTCCCAAAAGATGTTGCCTGGAGATAATGAATGATACATGTAATGACTCAGTACATTTGACACCAACCATAAAGAATAGGACAGAGGTTGCAAGTATGCGGGAAAAGTGTAGGTGAAAGCAATAAATCAACTGTGCTGCACAGGAGCTTTTTCCTTGGCCTGTTACATGTGGCTTTCTTCAGTGCAAGCATGGACAAAAGCGAAAAACCAGAAGGTTTTTAAAAATTCCATGCAGAATTAATAAAAAGTCCAAAAACTCAAATCTTTGTTTCCTGGTTGACCTGTAGTATGTCCTCATCCTCAGCTACAGTATGGTTACAAGCTTAGGGTAGCGACCAAAGAATGAGATTGCAGGTACAAGCAGAGGAAATGAGGTTTCTGTAATGAGGTGACTGCTCCTCTCGATCCTCTACCAATTCTCCCTAGCAGACTTGCTCAACCTCTGTTAAACTGAATGCAGACTGTCAGTGAATTGTATTCTTCTAAGTCCTTCCTCAAGCTTTTAATGAGATTCATGTAAGGGCTTTTGCTGGGCCACTGAAGAACATCCACCATCTTGTTCTGAACTGATGTCCCACAATTTGTTCTGGCTGTATGCTTGGGCTTGGTGTCCTGTTGGAAAGGGGATTTTTTGCCCCAGTCTAAGGCTCTTTGCTGACTGAAGCAGGTTCTCTTAAAGGAATTGCCTGTATGAGACTCAATTTATTGTATCCTCTGTTCAACAAGTCCTTGCCATTGAAAAGCATCCTTATAAGCATCCTTATAAAATTATCCAATATTTTATTGCATAATAAACCATAGAAAAATTCTAAGCAAACAAAGAAGTAATAGCTGCATTTCAATCCTATTTTCAACGAAGATAGGAAGAAGGCTGAGTTATGAGCCCTCCTTGCACCTCTGGATGACCTAAGAGTTCCAGAAGGCAGAAGGAAAAACCCAACCTAACATGTGCAGTTGTGTAGTGGTGATCACTAAGCATGGGTGGGCATTTCAAGTAGCAGTCACTTAAACAGCATGCAGAATCAGGATTTTCCAGACAAGAAAGGAGTCACCCCAGATCTCCAGCACTGTTCTTCTGCAGTACTGTTTAAAATATTACTTCATAAAACAAGTTAAACATGATTTCCTAAAAGGAAGAAAAGAAAATGTATTTATCCTCAAATATAAAAAAAAACTACAGTATGTACAATGTGCAAAAAGAGAGTGGAAAATAAAATGCAAGGGTTCTATGTCAGGAGCACATTAACAGGTATTTTAAATCAAGGGTTGGCTTGTACGTTCTGTTAGAACTTGAAGACACTTGGAGGTATACAGTATTTTATAATGTCTTTGAAGTTGGCTTGGTTTGCCCGTAAATGACAATCCTTTTCTGGGAGACAAATACATAATTTTCTTCTTTCTCCGTAATATACAGTACCTGCTGTATCGAACACCTTTCACTTCCTCCTCTTGGTCTTGTCTCTCTGTTTGTACACCTGTGCTATCATGTCTGACCATACACCTGGATATTTCCCTGTTGGGTTCTCTACGGCTGATTACAGTATGTGAGAACTTAGTTGCACAGTTTCTATGAGGGCAATATCATAACAACTGCAAGACCAAGGGGAAGAAGTTGTTGAAAATAAAAGTGGGATTATTAGTACTGTGACATGTTCTGTGGCAATTCTCAATTACATTAGAAAGATCAGAAATAATAGAAGATATTTTGATGCGTCACACTAATTTAGTTCTACTTCTATACAGGCACCCCAATCCAATCCCGTTTGTGCTGGGAATAAATCCCCTATAGAAATGGAAAATTCACTAGCCAATCAAACCTAACTAGCTTGTCCTTGGGACCAAGGAAGAAACCAGAGCACCTTGTAAAGAATAAATGAAAATGCAGAGAAAACATACTGTACAAATTGCACACAGACACCCGTATTTGCCACAAGTCAAAATTAAATCAAGAATGCTGGAACGGTGAGGTACAAGTTCGGCCTTATTGAATGTCAGCATGCCTAAAAAATATCACCAGCTTAATCTGAAATTTGCACAAATAATGAATTAACTTAATATAACATTAAAGCTATACCATGTAAAGACGCTTTAGAGCTTGCTGGTAAACCTCCCTCTCATGTCACGTTGCACACCTTGCACCGAACATTATGTCAGCAGGTGCATTAGTGAAGCTAGAGTGACTTCACAATAGTGTCTGCTGAATGAACCACCACAGTCTTTGCCATAGACATCTGTGCAAGGCTTCCCAAAAGAAAAACTCACAACTTCTCTCTTGAGGCCATCTTGATGATACTGCTGGCACTGAGTCAGATATTCTCAGTATTAATGAAATTATTAAATCCTGCTTAAAGACCCAGGTTGTTTAACCCTTCGACATCCTGACCTCTGCAGTCTAAGGCAGCTCTACTGCTGGTTGCTGGTTATAACCATCCCAAATGAGCTCAGAATAATTGTCGTATTCACCCTTCCTATTTATCCTGCCAGTTTAAAACCAGTTTCTCTATTGAAACCTTCTCTGTTATATCCACGGTGATCAAAGCTATATTTATTAAATAACCAACCATCACTCAGCTCACAAAAAAATGTCCATAAGGCTACATAAGGCAGGGCCAGACTGTTCTTGTTTTGCAGGCTCTCTCTTTCTCCATTTACAATCCATGTCAGAAACATTGCACCCATTGCACCCACATTGCACCCACATTGCAAGGCCAGGAAGTTTGGGCTCATGGAAACACAGGCCCCCAGCAAGCAATGTTGCTCAAAAGCATTAAATTTCTCAAGGTTGTTGCTGTTTCCTCTATAACCCGTGTAAAGGAACTCCTCACATGTTATTGAAAGTAAGTTGTAAAACCAGCACCTAACTGGCTCCAGGTTACTTTTACAATGGCTTTCCATCTTAGAGCAAGCCTAATGAGCGTGCCTTATAGTGAAGGAAATAGGTCGAAAAGAAAATTCTAAAACAAGTCAGACCCCAATAACATTTAGGAAAACAGATAAGGATAAAGTTATTAAGCCACTTGCCTACAAGAACTGTTTAAGTTTCTGTATGCTTGCACTGTTTGTTTCAAAAGGCATTTTGTTAAAGTACACAGTTAAAGGACTATATGTTGTTTGTCAACAATAAAGACACATTAAACTAAATGATGCACATAAATGGACACATGCACATAGCAGATACCTAAACCAAAGGCAAAACAAAAAACTACATAAGTCATATATTTTTCCAGCTTAAGACTTCATATTTTCAACTATTTTTGACATCACAGAGTACAGGCAATTTATAAAAGTTAAATAATAATAAATAAGTTTAATTTTCCATTAACAGTTTGGTGGTGGACAGGCATAAAAATAGTCATGACCAGGCAGAAAACTTTACTACTAATATTTATAATTGCATCGTGACCTAGAGTTCAACACTTAACATGCAATCTAGCCATATACTGTAAACACACTCTCAAACATAGAACACTATAATACAGTCAGAAGCAGACATAATTCTTTGAAAGAAAGTAAGCTTCCATAAATACCTCACCCTCTACAAAGTCCTCTAAACGGATACAAATAAGAAGCTGACCTTGTGAAATACATAAGTATTGGAAACTTCCACTAATATGATAAATACAGCATTTCTCCCAGAATTTAGTTTAGGTTCCTTCTGTGCCCTATACAAAGGTTTTGGTCAAGAAAGAATCCAGTGATGAAAATAAGCTGTAAAGCTGCAACTCGCTCTGTCCAATCTCTCTTTTTCCATGTCCAGCTAAATCTTTTTTACTTTGGATCTTCTTTTGATGTATACTGTACCACATGAACTATAGGTCATCCTCTAGAAAATCTAGTCTCAAAAGTTGTGGATCCCTCTAAACTCCACACAGCTGTGTTATATTTAACTGATTAGATAAGCCACCATTATACCTGGGATATTAGCAAAATTCCTTCTATTACACATTTCAATGTTCATCTGTGTTAAATTTGCTCCGTTTAACATTGTCTTTCCTTTCCAGTCTGATCATAGCGGCTGATCAATTTAAGATATCTTTGTTCACATTTTGATGCTTACCTTAAAACTGAATGTATCCTGTAACAACTAAATTAATCTTAGTTACGTTTATTTATGGTTATCTTAACTCTGAAGACAATCAAAAACTTGGGTTTTCGATGGGATGCGTGTTTGATGACTAGAAATGTAAAGACAGATTTGGTTCATTTGAAATCTTATTTTGCTGGAAGAACCTCACTTATAACTCACCATCTGTTACTGTGCACTGAACTTCTCCCTTCACGCAGACACAGCTAACATGCTGGTCCTTCTCCCAGTGGGCTCCCTCCTCGATCTCTCGTCCCTCCCAGGAACATGTCAGGCGCCGACACTCACAGGACTCCAGGAAAGCCACTCGAGACAACAGGTCAGCGTTCTTCATCAAGAGAAATAACAAAAATAAATCGAGCATGTAAAAGAGTAATCCTTGGCAAAATGATCTTCAATTATTACCCCAGCATGCCAAGGCAGGTGGCAACTGTAAAAAATTTTTTGCTGAAAGTTGCTATTTGTCAGAATACGCAAAATTAACTGTAGAAGAGGAGGCTACCTTGCTTGTTTGGTTTAGCCTTTGGAAGAGTTATTGCAAGAATTCAGCAATTTGACCGAGTAGCTTGTTCCTACAGCTAGAGAGGAACCTACAGCCACCTCCAGAACTATCAGTTGTCTATATTTTGACGGAGGAAATATGGGAGAATTGGTGGATACAGTAGGTGCCTCTTGTTAGTGGATGAGGCACTCAGAAAAGAACTGTAAGAAACCTGTCAACAAGTCTTGTTTTTTCCTTCAGTGCTCAGAGTTTGTAGTCAAAAGGCAAAATGAAAAGCAAAAACATGCAATTTTGAAGCAGAAATAAAATCTTTACAAAATCAGATCCATAGCACATAAATTAGTCATACCACAATCAACAGTTTGGTATATAGTGCAGATGAAAGAAACCACAGGCATAGTTATCAATCAGCCAAGACTGGTTGGCCAAGAAAAACATCTGTAGTTGATGATAGACACATTATCAGAGCTGTCAAGGAAATCCTTAAAACAAATCTCAGTGAAATCACAACCAGCCTCCCGAGTTCAAGACTGAAGGTATCAAAATCAGCAGTTCACAGAAGACAGAGACAGCAGAAAGATGCTGCCATAAAAAAAATTAAGAATGGTTACAAGCAGGAATAGTTCATTCATCCCATGTTGTTCATTTGGTAGAAAACAGCATAACCCAAAACATATGGCCAATTCAACCAAGGAGTTCATTAGGATCAAAATGTGGAAAATCTTAGACTGGCTAAGCCAATCTCCAAATTTAAATTCCATTAAACATTCCTCATTATCACAAATACAAATTGCTAGTCTTTAAAGCAAAAATCACAAATCTGACTTTGCTTCACCAATACTTTTGTATAGCACTTTATAATCTTCTTCTTCTTTTTCACAGCCTTAGTCCCAGACTGTCCTGGGGTCAACTGCTTTGGTTGCTCTTCTCCACTTGTCTCTGTCGAGCACATCTTCCTCACTCACTTCACATACCTCCATATCTTTTCTCACACAATCTATCCATCTCTTTCTAGGCCTGCCTCTTTCTCTGTTACCTTCCACCTCAAATTCCATTACCCTCTTTGTTACTTCCTCAACGTCCCTCCTCATGATATGTCCATACCACCGTAACCTCGCCTCTCGCATCTTCTCAACCACATCCACCACCCTACATCGTCTACGGATTTCTTCATTTCTGATCTTATCCTTCATTGAAATCTGCAGAATCCATCTCAACATCCTCATTTCAGTTCTTCTCATCAAGTTATCTTCCCTCTTTCCAACTGCCAAGCATTCAGCTCCATATAGTAGTACAAGTCTAATCACAGTCTTGTACCTTTTGCACTTTAACTTTCTAGGAATTTTCCTGTCACAGATTATTCCAGTTATTTCTCTCCACTTGTTCCATCCAGCTTTCACTCTTTGTTTTACTGCCTCTAGTGTTTCTCCTCCCTTTACCAGTTTTGATCCAAGGTATTTAAAGCCATCAACTTGTTTCAGTTTTCCTCCATTTGTATAGCACTTTATAATCCTTTGTGAAAAAGCTTCCAATTTTTATCCATAAATCCACATCTGTTTGATTTCCATGTGAAGACTCAGAACTCAAAATATTTAAAACACTGAAGTGAAAACATCCCACAAACAGGTAATAACCCAAAGGCTGCAGCAAAGATTACTCAAAAAGTTTGGAGAGCACAATAAGTCACAGACTTCATACAGTTATTGATGCAAAGCAATATGCAAAAAATGCTGACATTTACACTCTGAAATTTAAAGTGAAATTCTTCCATTACCTACTTTATGCTCACTTGAAATCACAGGGTTAGAAACAAAGCATGCTTTTGTTCTAATGTTATCAAATGTTTGCATGGAGTTACTAAAATAAATATTATAATGTTCTCACCACCCATACTAATCTCATGATCACAAATACAAATTGCTTGACTGTAAAGCAACACTCACAAAGTTGATTTTCCTTCCCCGAGACTTTTGTACAGCAATTTATAACCCTTTGCATAAAAGCTTGCTGTTTTAGCTGTAAGTGCACATCTGTTTAATTTCCATGTGAGGATTTAAATCCTTGTTTAATAATTGATAATATAATTAGGAAATGCTCTGGGGTGACTCAAGCTTTATGGGGTTTTAAATCCTTTTATTAAGACTCCTTTTTTATATTAAAGACTTAAAAGATTTACTTCCTTCAACATAAAGGAAAGTCCAAATTAGATATTTCATTAAGCTTTTTTATACTGTCAATTAACCAATTAACCTTATCATTGTCTGTTCATCTTCCTCCAAAACAGCAGTCATTTTCATAATGTGGTAACCATAACTTTGTACAAGACTTTAAATTGTGTTTCGATTGCATTGTATAATCTTGCCTTATCCTTCATTCATTTCAACACTTGATATGCATTCTGATATACATAAAAATCTAGGTTCTGCAATCCTGAGTCTAAATTATTAAAAGTAAAGATGCAGGTACAGTAGCTGCAATAAGCTGCTTGTTTTCACATTTCTCTGAGACATACCACCACATACCTGAGCTTTAACCATATCAAGCATCATGCTAAGACTCTCCACTGTTTGCTCCAACCTCCTCATCCGCTTTTCTTGATTTTCTGGCTGAAGCAGGTGACTCTGCAAAGCAGCTGGTGGCCCAGGATCACTTTGTTGCTGCTGATAGTTTACAAAATCAGGCTGGTCTTCTGGGTACACATTAGGATCTCTTACAAAGGGATTCTCTAGCCTGGGGTCTGTTGATCAGAAGAGCAAAAAGCTTTATGAATGTCACAAGTCACAAGCTGCTTACCGATTAATTTTCAAAAACTGCAACTATAGACATGATAAGAATTGTAGGAAAGTCTGCAGGATGCATACTGTAGAACCAATGACAATTTAAAGAGTGCACATTTCAATTTTGCTCACTCCTTTTGGTTAACATTTATGTTGGGATTTCTTCAGCAATCTGAGTAGCAGTTTAACCAAATACAAGTCCTTTACCAGAATACCATAGTTCACAGCAAAAACTAAAACAAATTTAAGATCAAGTAAAGAAAAAAAGGATTTTGGCGAGTGTATTATAAAACCGTTTAAATACTGCCACTACCTCCTGCTACTACTGTATTTACTTGGGACACATTTATTACAGTCTGAATATTGCTAGAACATAACCATGGTTGAAATAAAATAGTTGAAATTACCATTAGTATAAATATTTCCTACCTACAAAACTACTGTCAAGCATGGTGGTGTCAACATTATGTTACAATTCTGATTGTCATTGGCAGGGAAGCTTGTCAAGACTGATGGGAACATACTGTACTGTAGATGTAGCAAAGTACAAGCAAATCTTAGAGGAGGACTAAAAGGTCCTGAAGGATCTAAACCTGTCAGCAGAATAAAAGCTCAAGGCATAAGGCCAAAACTGCACTGGAGTGGCCTGAGATTACAAATGGTGTTCCAGTCAAAGTCCTGCTTTGAAACCTAAAATCACACGGGAGAACTGGATCCTCAAGCAACCCGAGAGAGCTGGAGCAAGTCTGCCAAGATGAATGGGCAAAAGATGTACCAAGCCAGTGTGCAATGTTGGTACTTATCCAAGAAGACCTGGAGATGTGAAAAACATAATTTGGGTTTCTAGCTCATGATTGTTTTGGTGCTCCCTGGTAGCCACACTGTACATAGGTTTCCAGTCCCTTTATAATTTGGCCAGATTCATTCATTGCCCTGTTTATATATTTACTTTAGCATTTGCTTTTTTGTTGTTGCACTTAATGCATTCAGGAATGAGTAAGCTTCTGTTAATTGTTTCTATATTTTTTCTGATCTGTTCTTGTAGAATGACTTTTCTCAATCCAGGACCTGGCATTCTAACTTCAGTGGCTGCTCAAGAATATTTTTTGGGCTGTACAAGAAATGCTCATTCCCCTCATGTAGCCTTAAGCACCTTCCAAGACTATGCTTGGATTTCATTTCCCTATGTCGTTAGTTTGAACACAAACATTAAACTGATCGCTTACTAACTGTGAATCCATGGTCTGATAGGACTGAAATACTTGATCTCCTAGGTGTAGGCAGAGTGCTCCACCAGGCAGAGGGAGAGAGTTTCTGTATATACAGTATACTGGGGCATGGTCAGATATGACAATGTTTCCAATTTAATGGATTTTTGTTAAGCTTAGCAAGGAAGATGAAACCAGACTTAGCCCAAACTTAACACGCAACACCATATGGGACAGAATAAAATGTGAAATTATTTGAAAAAGATTTAAAAATCTCAAATCACCTACAAGACACTGATTAGGATATCTAAACAAATATACTACAGTATCCTAGCGTTCAACTGATTAATTTCAGCGTTTCAATGCACAATTGTATAATTGAAGTCCCCCAAACCAAAACAAAATGGCAATCAATTTATGCCAGTTCCACAAAACTGTGCTTAACAATGTGGCATCTTGCTAATTTGCTGCATAAAGATTCTCAATACAGAACTCTACTTAACAGGAGAGCTCTGGATCTTTCTCTCCTCTATATCCCTGACACTATAATTACCCTGCAAGGAACAAACAGTCCACCCACTGACACAGGAGAAGCAACTGGCATGTTCCTGTAGTGCTTTTATTAAAAGGTATTTATCATGAAGAAAAACATTGTGATGCTGGATAAAAAGAAAACCATTAAACATTTTAGGAAAAAATGTATGAACTACACATTGAAGGCTGCAGTAAGTATTTCAGGATGGCAGAAAAACCCTTCACTCAGTTTAGTGTCTGTATCCAAAAACCCATTTACAGCCACCGTGACATGTTTTTAATACCAAGAGAAAACATTAGAAAACACAATTCACTTCTTAAAAATGTTTCTTATGAGTCTTCTTCTGGAACGGCTGGATTTTATTCAATCTGTGTAACAAAAGAATTATAATTGGCTTTACTTGTGTTCCCAGCTATATCACCACATCATACATATGGAATGTCCAGGGATTCTCATAAAAGGGTAGCTTTTGTTTGATAATTCTAACAGCTGGATTTTTAAACAGATATACTGAAAAGACTGCCCAAACTTAAATTCAAGCCCTCAGTTCTTATGTGATCTTTTATACTGTCTCAGTTCTTGGAATATATACAGTATAAAGAGGAAAGCAGACATACATACAGTTTTCTTTTTGCTCAGATCATTACCATAGTGTACAGTGAAAATTTTGAACTTACAGAAACTGCCTGACATTAAATTTATCCAGGCCATTAGGTGAGGAAGTCTCAGGTATTTCAAGTATTCTTAAAGTGGCACCTGAATTGCAGCCTATACTTTAATTGGTTGAGAATATGTTCAGTTCTACTTATTTAATTATCATGTAGAAAGCTGCTGGCACATGCCAGACATATGATACCAGTACTAATAGTACTGCTATTATTATTCTTTTGATTAAAATAATTTCCTGCCCAGTCACTCTTTCAAACTTTTTGTACGATCTAGAAAAGCACTGTTATTGTAAAGGCATTGTCACTTAAAATACCATCCTGACTACTTTAGTGCACATTCTACTTTTTCTAAACTTTACATGTTGGATAAGCTTATTAATAGTTTAGCAATCAGTGGAGCTTAGTCACCTTATTCAATAACAATAACCAACCCCCATCATAATCTGTGACATTTGCTCATTGTGATAGACAGTGCCAAATCATAAAAAAACAATTAAATAAGCTAGATAGTTCAATCATTACACTAAGCCAATACAATTTTATAACTCTGTGCTCTGGTAATTATATAAAAGTCTTACATTTAATTTACAATAGTTTTGCTGGCTGGAACCAAGTGGAATTTGATTAGTCTACTGATCAAATAGGTTTCTTGTAGATCTACCAAAATGTAACCCCTGCTCAAAGTAAAACTTCATATCTTACATATCTCTTTGGATAACTAATCCAAACATTTGTCAACTTGAAAGTGGAACAAAAGTTTCACAATTAAATTAGTTCATTTACATGCCACAGACCAGCTAATAAGTGTGTGACTTTTGATCAAAAAGATACAAAACAGTCTTGTATTACTGGAACAAACTTCTTTTATAAATTACTTCACAGCATACACATTGGCTTTCCTACAGCATGTTCGTGTTTTAAAGGAGTTTTGATTTGTTTTAATTATTTTAGAAATATTTGTATGTATCCTTCACAACAGTTTTTATTTTTTTAAGTAAATCATAATTCAAAGCATATACAGTACTATGATTCCTGCATATTTACAGTATACAATACGCAGGAGAATGTTTTCAACAAATGAGCTACGCTCATTTGGCTTGACATTAATATCACAAGAAACAGAAATATAAACATTTTTGTGAATACAATTATGCTGAAGATTTTCTTAAGACTAAAACTTTCAAAGAAACAAAAACAGGAATGTGCAATAGCTGTTAGTCTTGTGAACTCCAAAGGCCTAACAAATGTTTTCCCTTGTATACTGAGTGCAATGGGAATAGTTACTATACATTAGACAAGGTTTCTGCAGTATATTTCAATAAAAAGCAAAAATGTTACTTCATTTTCAAAATCTGCAGATTTTGAACAGAACAGAAGTCTTTTTTTATAGAATACTCAAAACAAAAAGCATAAAATATTATAAATACAACTTTAATATATAAAGTCTAAGTAAAATCAGTTCAATAACCTTAAACAGATTTTCTGTATCAGTACATTTCTGCAATGCTGTATGGACATGAAGTGAACTCTTTAGAGCTTTGTATGAGGATGACATTTTTCTATTTTAGGCACTTTTACAATATTTTTTTCCTCACAGTGATTTATCATTGTTGAATGTTTTGTCAGTCGGTAATAAACTCCCCATAATAAAAACACATAAATCTGCTGAGTACATAAAACTGCCACAAAATGTCAGTTAGGACCCTGCAAGTCCTCTACATTCAGATGCCTTAATAAACCCTTCTGAACTACACAGGCACATGGTCCTTAAACCAGCTGCTTGCTAAGAACTTGATGAATACTAAAACCTTCTCAATAGCATCTATAACTCTTCTACAGATTAAGGCAATTGTTATTTTTGCTCACATGAACGTTATTTATTTTAAAGCAACATGAAGTGTTTCACTGCATAGTCATGTGAAAAGTAAAATGCTCAACATTTGGAAACAATAATTACTAAAAGAAAGAAAAGATTACATAACCCCAAAGCATTTTAGAACTGAATGTTTGATAATTTATACGAAATTTGAGAATCCTGTTTCTTGCAAAAAAAATGTAGATTCTTAAAAAAAAGCAGTATTTCATGTGCTTTTTACACAGTTTATGAAAAGCTAACTCCATATAAAGTATATACAGTACAATAGACACATTCACCGCAGAACAAACTATTCATCTGTAAATGTAAGATAACCTTTGTTTCAAGATGGATTTTTAAAAGTCCTGTGTGTGAGTTCTGATGATAAACTAAAGTAATATAAAATGGTATAGGGACAATAATATATCAGTATTATGTGTACATCTATGGTTTATTTAAAACACAAACATGTTGTCTCTTGTCTCTTACTCACTATGGTGGAGTAAGTTGAATAAGAATGAGTTTCACTACTACACTGACGACACATGAAGATAATACTTCCAGATTCTATTATTGCAGTTTTAGAAATCTGTGGATGTCTTTGAGATACTGAGATCAAGATACAGAATGTTAAGACCTAGGTTCACCACTCACCATTTCACCATTCCTAATTACTGAAATCCACTGAAGACTCAGCAAATGACAACATTTCTGAACACCACTTAAAGAATTAATATCTACCACACATTTTAATTAATTATTTTAGTGTACTCTTGAATCTTCAAAGTCAGTTTGCAGTTCTTCTGCTTGTTTATACTTATGTTATGTATACTAGATTTATGCTACAGTGCTTTGATTTTCAGGACTTTTTATTATACGTCTTCCAAAGAGTACAAACTGGATACATTGGATGCTTAGAGTATACAATTTTGATAAACAACAGCTGCATTTGGTAGTAATGCACTATTTCATTATCCCTTTGTGTGTCTTTCAGGTTGAGTTTCTTCAAGGGTTCATGTGCATTTATCATATGAATAATGCAAGATTCACAAATAATTTAATATAATACAATCAATCTGATGGGCTATTTTAAATGATTCACAAATAGAAACAAGACCCTGCCAATTCACAGGCAAAACACAATTGCTTTTCCTGAAAGAATCAATCCATGTTGTAAGATGAGGCCTTCTGACTTACAGTTTAGCGCAGGCCTACTCAATATAGTTATACAGTCACTTATAAAAAATATTCATTCTCATTAAACAATCATAAACAATGAACAATCATGCACAACAGATGAATAAAACAACAGTTTGATTTGCTTTTTTCGTCTTATACTGCTCAACTGACTGTTACATCAATGCTAAGTTTCATTATGATTTGGTCCTGTCAGAAAGACCAAGGGCTCATAGCCTCCACAATAACGGGACATTGACACTGGCTAAACTGACACTTTCAAATCATATATCATTTATAGCTGCTACCAGGAATGCAAGTTTTTGGAAAACAATTCAATCATTTGGGATACTATTAACAATCTAAAGATATTTAATGTTACATTGGCAGATGTATAGGAGCCCTTTAAGGATAACCTGTAATAATAATGTCATTTTAAATGGCGACTTTAAAAGTAGCATCACAAAGTAGGTGTAAAAAAATCATTGTCCACAACTCTGATCAAGGAGGGTTGGTGTATCAACAGATTTCAAGTCCAGCAGGGATCATAATGATCTAATCAGGTCATTATTAGCTTAACTGCAGTAAGTTAAAGGGGAACTGCAACACCATTTTCATATTTCAGAATAAGAAAGAATCAGCATTGATGAGTGCATTTCAAACCACAATGAAAGTAAAATGTACACAGTAACTTGTAAAACCTCTAAGTTACATGTCAAAATAAACACAATGTCCAAGTATGCGCAGCACCATATTGTGTGATTCAGAACGAGGCAACAAAAGGTCTGTGTGGTGGGTGTATGACATTAAACAAACAGGTTTGTGAATACATCTCTTTTAACCCAAGAGAAATATTGTTTTTTGATTTCGAGACAGTTTTGCCAACAAATACTACTTACTTGTTAACTCTTCATTCAGATAATGTTAGAACATTCCTGCGGTTAAATGTCTGCTGCACAGCTGGTATTTATCCGCTTTTACATCACATGACATTAGTCATTATGGTGACCAGTGAACAGGAAAGGCCGCAACTTGTGGGAACTGGAATGTGAGTTTGCGACAACATGGCATCTTACAGTGCTTTCACAAAATTAATGATTTTTTGCTTAATAATTTGTCTTTTTTTTATAATGTCAATGAATTTATTTTGTTACACAGATTTAATAACTGATCTGAGAAATTGGGACTGCAGTTCCCTTTTTATTTTCCCAGCTCTTCAGGTGCCGTTGCTTTAAAGGGACCTGTAACACACTGGCCCTCTTGGGGACCTCTGCCTAAAAGAGTCACACATATACACCCCTAATATAAAAAAGTATGAAATACTGTATTCAGTTGCAACACCTTGCCTTTAAATAAAGTGAGTCATTTTCCAGTGATTAGACTGAGAATTAACAGGGTGTTTTACACACAGTACCTGAAAGGTTTTCACAGTGCCATGGGCGTCTAAGGAAGCCACTGGTGGATACTTCTGCCGTTTGCCAATAACCCTGAGAACAGAAAAGAGAGAACAGAGTCACAAAGACAAATTCATTAACACTATGAAACTGTTGATTTGTAAATCTGTCAAATCTGATGGTATTCATAAAAGATTCTTAACACTACACTTTAATGCAACAAAAATGTTAATGATTATCTATAGATTTATGTTTTTAGATTTTTAGGTGTTTTTAGGAGTTTTTTTCCACAGAACTAAGAAGTTTTATACATCAGCTAAACAGTTGCATAGACTGTGCTAAATGGTCTTTAATCTTCTCCCTACAAAACTACACACCTGAACACACAAAACAACGCACAGTAAAATACTCTCATCCATTGGTTCAGCTCGAAAATCACATTAAAATATGGAAATATTTCATTCTTATCCAGTACTATTCTAAGCAGAGGTCAGAGTGGTGGGGAGCTGTATCAGTGTGGCAACAGCAAATAAACAGGCTGAGATTAATTTCACACAACTGGAATAAACTTCACAGCAGAAACTTTGTGTTGTTTTGCTAGTTAGTATGAGATTACCATCTACATGTACAATTCTATATAATCTATTAACTGTCTTTATTTTTAAGTCTTTATTAAATATACATGTTATACATACTGTATATAAACAACATTTAAGATAACAAATATAATACAAATACAAAACCATTTTTTGACCCGTGAAACCACTACAGATTGCTGATAATTGGGTACAAAACTATTATAAAAAAAGTGATAAATATGATGTGGAGGAAAGGAAAAATACTTAACAAAGATAAAAGTTTTGGTTTCTTAAAACTATTGCTTTCTTTGTTTTCTCACTTAAATAGTTATTACTAGATGCATCTCCTGTCATTTATCATTCCATCCTTTTCAAAACAGCAAAATACAGTATCTCTTTATCGCATTCTTTAGATTCAAAACAAAAGCTATTTTCTTGATCTGCTTAAAATTGTCTTCCTGCACATCTATGCAACGCGCATTGTAGTGTGTTTTCATTCCAAAATTGAGCAGGTCCATCTTGAATTCCTTTAGAGGTTTTCTAGTGTTTTCTGCACCACCTCCTTGATGATGTTCCAGTTACTGTCTTTGTAAGGAGATTAGAATAACAAATGTAATAGCACTAGACACAGGAGGAGGCTCAAAGGACAAGGATTTGTTTAAATGAATCAGAAAACAACTCAGAAATAGGAAACAGAAAATAGGAGTCTTGTTACCAACTAATATGATCATAACCAAAGTCAAATGGCCTTCATTTCCCTTTTGTTAAACAAGAAGATCTCTATTTGAAGAAGTGGCACATGTACAAATATTAGGTTTAATCAGGATAGAGTTTAATGCAAAAGACTAACTCTAGGACAAGATTATTTCTCAGTTATGTAGTCAATAATTTAGGTACTGACTACATAGACATTTTCAGACTCATTCTTTCATGAGTCACAAATATAGTACTTGCATTGTTTAAATTAAAAAAACAGCATACAAAACCATTTAGAGATAAAAATATTATCAACAAACTCACCGCAAACTTGCTGTTCTTGTCTCCTGGCATGCTTGCAAATGTAATCTCAAGATCAATAGGGAGACTGAGACTAAGAACATCTTCACCGTGGCTCTTTTCAAATACAACAGGCTCTTCACAGTCAACGAAGAGGGAGATCTTGTGGGCCTCCAAGTTCAGAGCTACACGGGCCCACTTGCTGTTGGAGAAAGGGGTGCCCCCAGGGAAGAGGATATGCGCGGGATCCATGCTGTGGACAGCACGGTAGTCAAGCCTTAGCTGGTTGGACCTAGTGCTGGAGACCAGCTGGAGCAAGGGATGGCCATCCTTTTTCATGGCAGTGGGGGAGACAAACGAGATGAGTGTCCCGTCTGAGTTCTTGGTCTGCTGGGCCACAAAGTGGAAGCCAATGGATCCCTGCATAGTGCTGAGAAAATAGAAGGAAAAGTCCCTTGGAAGAGTCAAGTGGGGTACCCTCTGACGGAACTTCCAGGCAGGAATGCTTGGATCCAGACCTTTGGCTTTAGTCACTCCTTTAATTGACCGGGTAATGTTCAGGGCCTCAAGCAGATCAATTACTGAAATGAAAGAAAAACAATAATGGTGTTTTATTTTAAAACACATTTTTCTTCTACATCTGGCAGTACACAAATTCAAATATACATGGTAAAAATAATACAACTTAAAGGACTCCTTCTGAGTTATAGATATCCATGTTTGAGATGAAAAGCTAGTTTTAAACTAACTGAGTCAGTACTGAAACATGAACAATGATACAATAAAGACATTTAACCACCATTACAATATTACTTTTTATTTGGAACCTTTACAGACACTGTCTCTTGGAAATTTTAGGAGGAGCACTTGAATAACAAATTAAGAAAATGTGTTCTAAGCCTAAGAGGTTACTCAATCCTGCAAGTTAAAAGTGATGTCTGGTGTGATTAATGAGGTAGAAAAAACTAGCAGTGGTTATGACACTTGGCTAAGAACACATAACTAACCTCCTGTTGTGTGCAACACAGAACATTTGATCTTTATATTAGTTTTCTAAACTGTGGTTTCTAAAATATAATTTAATTACATGTATCCTAAGTTATTATAAAATATATTTAACTAAATATGACTGTTTAAAACAAATTTATTTTAAATGTATTTTCAAGATTAGCAAATGATCTAATCGATTACCTAGAGTAATCATTTCTATTTTCTTTTTATAGTAACTCAAAATCTCTAAATGATTTGAAAAGGTGGATTATAAATGCTGAATTTGTTGTTTCTCTTTGTTGGGAATTTATCACTTTGTTTGGAATCTAGAATGCACGCATTTCATTGACCCATAGTAACACATTACAGGGATGTTTAGAGTTCCACAATTTCTGGTTTAGTAACATCTGCACATAAACACCATGGAAGAGATCAAACAGATCTCAGCTGTGTCAAGAGAACAATACTGCTGCCTGACAAAGAATCCTTACCAATCCTTTTCACATACAGAACCTCACATTAAACACTCTGAGAACAACATATTGTTACTTAGGAAATTGTTTAAGGAAGCTAACAAATTCACCAAAAGTTTGACAAAAGAGAATTTAAACAGGGCAAACAAAAACAGAATTATATGCTACTCTTTGATACTTAGTGGTATGAGACACTCACTAACACTCACACATACAGTATAAATGCATTTTTACATGTCTAAAAATATGAGGAGATGGCATTTTATTTGATGTAATAATATTTCTGTATTGAAAACAGCTATTGTATATAGCCCACTATCCAACCAATAACACAAATCCTTATAACCTTGCATTTCATAATATGTTTATTCACAATTGATTAAGTCACACAAAGTCACGAACTGTATTACTGAAAAGCTTAAATAAAATGTCAGAATAACCTCACCATAACATAACATTTTGATAGTAGTTTTCTTTCTCATTGGGTAACCATAAGGTTTGTCTTATTAGATAGTAATTTACTATGGTAATGTTTACTTTTACACAATTCACAATCTTTCTCTCTTAACATAAAGTGCCTTTTACTCTTAGGTTTAGAAGGAGATCTTAAAAACACAACAACTGAATTTGGAAAATGTATTGCACTTACTCAAACCAAGGTTTTCTGTTCAACAGAGAATATTGTCTTTTTTGGTATTATTACTGTGCATCTCCTTTGAAGAATACTGCATGATCCCATTTCGACAAATGTTTGATTTTACTTCAATTATTAAGTTATGAAAGGATTTTAAATTACAAAGCAATATATATAAAAGGTTACCCAAAAATGTGCTAGTATACCTGTTCTATTAGTTATAACCAATAACTAGATCCAGAATGTAGTTCTTTTCATAATATTAGAACTACAATTAAATATTTTAGAATTTAAGAACTACTTTATTCATTTACATGGTCAATCAGTATAGTAAAAAACTTTGAAAACTGTTCTTTTTGTAGTATTAACCAGGAATATGTTCAAGAAATAATTTTACCTTATTAAATTAACTCCACCTAGTTTATATCTATTAAATGTTTACAGTGCTCTTTACAGCGGGAATGTTGGATGTGTTCCAATCCTGTCTTCTCCTTTAATCTTCACACAAGGAAGGTCAGTAAGGCAACAATGTTTGCAGATTATCCTGCTGTTCAAAGGCTGTGTGCAATCCCACAACAGATGGGACATCAGCTTTTAGAATCCGGCTGAGAAACAGGGTTTTCATGTTTACAGGTTTTCGTAAACGTATATACAGACTGTAGTAAACAGAACTACTGTTTACACAACACCACTGTAGGAAGACATTCAAGACACTGAACAAAAACCAACACATTCAAAAGCTGTAGAGTTAGGCTGTTTAGCATGATAACACTGTACATTTAGACATTTTAGACAAGGAGATAAATCCCTAACAGGAGTAACAGAATGAGCAGAATAGCACAAGGATTTGTAAGAGGCCTTCTGTACCTCTTAATTTATATTAAGCATTTTGCCGTTGGCATAACTGCATTGTTTAAGCAGCAAAGGAAAACAAAGGAACCATTCAAGTGTAGATGACCGCCATCAAATGAAGTATCATGTAGACAAGTAAAAGAAATACATCTGGGAAGCAATAATGTACATTATAAATAGCAAATGGAAGGCTACAAAGCTGAATAAGCAACATGACAGGAATTTACGAGTTTAAGTAGACTCATCACCCAGACAATTTAGGGAAATAGTTCAGGTGGGTAGCTGCGTCAGCATGCGTAGGCTGCAAAGGAACAAGTAATAGGTTTATTCCACGCTGAAAAAAAGTAGAAAGAGAACACAACGTTTCGGCCGTGGAGCCTTCTTGAGGTGTGTCAAGGTGAGCCTGAGCCTTCAGGTGAGCCTTCTTCAGGTGTGTCTTCTTCACACACCTGAAGAAGGCTCCACGGCCGAAACGTTGTGTTCTCTTTCTTCTTTTTTTCAGCATGGAATAAACCTATTACTTGTTCCAATTTAGGGAAATGCTAAATAACCACAAAATGCCACAGTATGCAGCATAAAATGCTGAATTCACATAAAAATTGTGTTAAGGCAATACCAGGCAAAGTTTAGACCTCATTAAGACTTTTGTATACAATTCAGTTCACCACATTACAAATACAAGATTGTTGACCTGGAAAGAGATGTCTGAGGAAAGTAGGAACAGACAAGTCCAAGGAAAAGAATATCTTCAGTTTTAAACAAAAAAGATTACAAAAAGACCTGAGACACAAATAAATAAAAACTGAAAAAGACTGACAAAATGAAGCCAACACTGATCAGCAGATAAATTAAAAGCACGTGTGGGAATTACAAGTAGAATTGAAGGCAAGAAAATAACACAAAGGTTCACAGGTGCCTGAAACAAGCAGCCCGACTCTGCTGCTAAAGCCCGTTCTCTGGGGTCCATTAAAATAGGCTTGAAGAGATCCTAAAATTCATGTTACCCAAAACGTAATGAGCAAAATGGCCTCCTCATATAGCTTCTCCAATGTTTTTTTTTTTAAAAAAAACAGTCCTTGGGCAATTCCTTAGTGGCAGCAATAGGGAACAGTGGTTCAGTTTCTGGACTTGTACTGAGAAGGATGTGGGTTGAGATCTCATGTGAAATACAGCTGTTGTACCTTTAAGCAAGGTACAGCACCAAAATCACTCCAGCTATATAACGGTGTAAAATATCCAGCTTCTGTGCTTGGGTGCAAATCAAGTTGCATTCGATAAACATGTGAGCAAAACATATTATAAAATTCACTAGGGATACCAACACCTAAAAATTAAGCATCCTGAAAGGCAAATGGAGTGTTGTAGCCTAAATCTGGTTTAACCACTGGCTAAGCCCGTGACCAAAGGACGAGGAGCCTAGAAACCCCAAGCGAAGAGAGGAGTGACCAAGGGGCAGCTGCAGAGATGGAGATGGGGTGGAGAAGAGAAGCAAAAGGATGTATGCGAGAAAGGGGATCACATCCTGTGTTGTATTTCCAATGTTTTAAATGAGGAAATTATGTCAGGATTGATTTAGAATTACTGACAGCTGAGTCTGATTGACCTTGGCTCTTGGGTATTGTCATCCCTGCCAAACGTTTGTTATAAACTCCATTTAATAAATCACCACTGTGACCAATATGTCCAATAATGCACCCTGAAAATTATGTCACAGCCAGGCCTCACATTTACACAGCAGCACATATGCTGCACCTAGAATATCAGTTATTAAGTCCTTTTTTTAACCTGCAGTAGTGTTGACAGTTCTACATGCTTTACTCTTCATTTACACCAAACATAGCCTATAAAATGCAATCAGATATACAGTACCTGAATATATCCAAGATTTCTGTTCTGCTTTAGCTGGCAAGTCTTATCAGTAGTTCTAAAGGGATCCTCTTTAAAGATCAGAGTAAGTGGCATCAGAAAGACATAACATGAGGGCTGTGTGACGGAGCCTTTCACATCACACGTCTGATCTAAAACAGGATAAAGAACAACTGAAATGCTAACAAGCCCATTTTGCCAAAATGCACTGTTTTTAAAAATCAGCTTTAAAGAACCTTACAAAAGAGTGAAAAATACAAGACAAAAGAAGATGAAACAGCACTTAGCAAGATTCAAATGATTTAAAATCTAAACAACATACTCAACCATATATTTGTCTGCATCAAAGATATCTGTACCGGGAAAATGTCGGAGTTGTAAATTAATGGTAGAGTTTAAAATCACAGTTGCTGACGAAAGTCCCGTAATGTGGTCTGAATTAAATTTTTCAAAGCCATTAAACAGAAACACATTGGATATTCAAATGGACTCTTTCTCAGGACATGCAGTGAAGCAGGCCACATGGAACATAATTATAGCCCAGCTCAAGAAGAGAAAGCACAGTGGTAATTATTAATTTATGCAAAGAGAAAGTTTTAAATCCCCAAAAAATGTTGGAAGTTTACACATATTTTGAAACAAAAACTTTAATGCACACTTGAGACAAATGTGCGTCAAATCTAGTTGAAAGCAAAAAAATAATCAGTTCTTTCTTCATAAAGCTTAAAGCCAAAATCTGACTCTTTATGAGACTTACGCCCCCCCCGTCCAGTGAAAACCAGGAAGAGGGACCCACTCTCATCCCCACCAAGAGCTGTTCCTTCAGAAAAGTCTACTGGTCAGATGTTGGTCATTCATCCTTATTCTTATGATTCTTAGATTCTTATGGCTTATTCTTGAAACAGAAATACATAAAACCAAAATATGGATCAAACATGACAACCCTTGACATTTCTGGTCTAGACCCTCAAGAGAATATCAATTCATTCAGGGAAATGATGCAGATGCAATTTCTAATCTCAGAAGCATAGCTAGAGATTAGGTACAAATGCCTGTCTGGGTAAGAGATTCCAGTGACTGAGGCTAAAACAGGTGTTGGGGAGTCCTTGAACAAGGTAAGTTATTCCTCCAGAAACATGCAACTCTTCAGAAAGGTAAACCAAAACAAAATCTTATGAAACAATTACCAGAAAGAATATTTGTCACTTGTTTCAGCCTGCAAACTAAGATTGCCAAATTAGGCTGTCTTTAAATATGGGAAATTACCCGAAGAATTAGATCATTGGAGTTTAACAAAATGGTCCTGCACAAAATCTACTCTGATAATACTGCAAGAAGAATAATTAATAAAATGACTTTTAAGAGTATTAAACACATTGCAATGGACATCCTAGACATCGCTGGAAACAAAAAAGTTATTTACTAACTAGCACAAATAAGAAGATTATATAATGTGAGTATGAATATACTGACATAAATGTTTAATGTAAGTATAAACTACCAAGCCATATGGTAGAAAATGAGTAACAGATCCTTCATAAACTAATCTGTCAGGGTCTCTGGAGCAAGAAGATACAAGAACCTCATGAGTAAGAATAACTGAGTGGCCTCCTGTCATTTCCATCCTTTGTGGTCTTATTATATAAACAGATAAAAGAAGGAGTTCCATCTAATTCTTTAATGAAGGATATTAATTACTCAATCTATGCAACAACTTCTTCTTTATGTGAACTGACAGTTGACAAAAGGTATATACATGTGTTATTATGTTCTAGATAAATGGCTGTTTCCCTTGATCATCTGTTGCAACTTATTTCTCAACATATATACCCAGTGTACAGTATAAAAGAACCTACAGTGATTACCACAGATTCCTGCAGCTTCCATCAGCAAAATCAGTGGGTATGGCATGTGAGAAAATGATATTTAAGTTTCTAGTACAGTGCATTTCAGAAACTGTTATGATTAATTTGTGCAACCTCCTTGTATTGCTTCTTATTTTTGTGTCCACCAGATGTTTCTTTTCTATCAGAACGCAAAGTAAAAGTCTTCATTTAAATCGGTGTCTAAGCTGTAATTACTGTACCAAATATTTCACTCTTTTATCCTATTGAAGCAGCTGTGCACTGCATTTAAAGAGGGGTGACGACATCGTAGAGCAATGTGTAAGGATTAAAATCTGTTCTTTTTATTCTTTGTTATTGCTTTATAGTAAAAGACAAGACTTAAAAGCCACAAAGAAGTAAACTGTGATTTCTGCAATACCATCATTATCTGTAGTGTATTCTGTAATATACAAACTAACTGCACTACACTGCAACATACAGTATATTTTTGCATGTGAAAACAAGTCAGGCAGATATCTGTGAAAAACATAATAATATACCAAAGAAGCATCCATTTTCTGTTTTCACAAAAAGACAATGGGCAGGATAGCTTTCCTCCTCTGACACACAAGCTTAGTCCATTAGGGGGACCTCAGAGACCTGGCATCCTAAGTGATATTACAAAAGAACAGCATAAACAGAACAGGAAATTTCAGACCAAGGGCAACAGGCCTGCATTACATATTAAGGATACAGAGAAAATAGAGTCTTGACAACCCTCTTGGGCTGATTTGCAAAAAAGCAGATGATGATCTGAGTCCCAGAGACCAAGAAGAGAAAGAATGGTAGCACTCATTTCTCTGCAACATGTCTGGATTCACTTTCATCTTTCATTGTCCGCCAGCTTTCAGAGAGTGAAAAAGTGAATACATATAGTGTATGTATCTGTGTATTGGTTTACAATTCCTGGTCTTTTTTTGGAGGTGGGGGGAGGGGATCTGGCCAACACTACAGTAGGACCTACTCTTTCCATTTAAAAAACAAGATTTTTATACAATGTGAATGAAATAAATGTCAGTACACTGGATAAACAGAAAAACAAAAAGGTGAGAGTGCTAAGTGAAACCATTTATTCCAAAGATACTACAGCAAATTCAATTGAACATAAAAATGGCAAAAAATCTGAATAACTTGTGGGGGGGGGTAAGAATGTTTGGCTTTAATTTTGATCTAGTATTGAATCAATTATTACATCTCTTGTTTCAAGTCTGGTTAAGCCAGCTTGATCTCCTGGATCATTTACCTCAAAAGATGAAAACCAGCTGCTTAAATACTCCTTGCTCAATAACTAAGGACATACTAAGACAATAGTGCAAATCATGACAATGTCTCACACAAGTTCAAACTTGGCAATTGAGCTTAAAGTAAGTTCTATATACATGTAGCTTTTTTATTTATTTAGGCACGATGTCAAAACACACTGCTCAGCATGGGCAAATTGCAACTGGCAGGTGCAATTTTTCTTCACTGCCTCCCACATGGGGTATTCAGTACGAAATCAAGCAGCTGTGCTTTAAGAGAACTGTTCTATTACAAGAAAAGAGCTCTAACTGTTTGATACTGTGCTTCGTGTGTTGGCACTAAAAAACTGAAAATGATCAAGAAGAAGTTTCTAGCATGACTGCACTTATTTCTTCACTGTGTTGAAAAATAATTTGTAACTTTGGCTATTTAAGTTTTGCTTTTAATATAAAAAAGTAGAGAAATGAAAACATCTCTTGTCTGAGAAATCATTAGCAGAAACATTCAATGTATCTGTTGGCAAGTTAAGCCAAGCTTACTGCTTTGGAAGAAATACTTACCAGGTCTAAGTATTAAATTAAAAGCAAATGTCTTGAAAGATAAGATATTGTTTTACATAAATGCAAATACCTAGTCCTAGAAAGGAAACCTTAAAGGAAATTGAAAAAAAAAATTTTAAATTGAAATATCATTCAATTACTTATAATTTAATTAAGAAAAATACATAAAAGGAGTATGAGTAATAATTTTGAAGATGCAAATTATGTTTCACAGCTGTCTAAATTCAATCAGTAGAAATTTTGTAACCTTATCTCTGACCATATTGTCACTGTACTTTGTAATTCAAAGTACAAAACAAAAAAGGCCTACAAGTAATGGCAAATTAAAATCGTGCTCATCTCCAGTAATATATCACTAATATTTTTATGAAATAATAAATGTGTCAAATAATTGGAACTCCTTCAAATGCACGGCTACAGAGTAACAGAAACAATTGAATATTTTAGACACCTACCGTCAGTAATTCAATATAATACATGCAGCTGCCTACAGCTGTGAGCTATCAAAATCGTTTGATATAGTTTTCATTAGTTTCTTTAATCCTTTTCAATTACAATACGGAAGCTTTCTGCTAATAAAATCCATCAGTTTTAGAGGGGCATTTTTTTTTGTTAGGGATATCAAGCTGTTTGCAATCACGGCGTAGTAAAGTTCATAGATATCCAAAAAGTAGTTAAACTCACCGTTTTCGTCCTCGTAGTATTGGAGAGGGCTATCTGTGTGAGCTCGAGTTATCAGAAAAAAGTTCCAAAATGCGACCGCACACACCTGAAGAAACAGAATTACAATTCGGGAAGACATCTCCGCAGTTCTTCAGCATTCACAGCTTTGTCCAGGAATTCATGGGTGAGGAGAATTAGTGTTTTCGGGGAAGACAAATCAGCACAAGCTGTTTCGTGAACAATGTACCGTAGCTGCACGTTTCTCCAAATAGTCGTGCTAAAAATCCTGAATCATAAGTTGAACGTTGCTCAGTGATGATATTGATGAGAAGAAATAACCGAACGATACAATGCTAGAGTACGAAACTAAAGCTTGTTGCGATTTTAAAAACTTGAAATGTTCAAGAAGAAGCTGTGTGCATCAGAGAACATCTGGAGGAGTTGCCCTGTTCTAGCGTTCTGTTTTGTTACTGTGTATATACAGTAGTTGAAACATAACATTATGTTATGGTCAGCAATGCATTATCTCAGAAGTACATGCTTGGTTCCTATAAAAGTTTATTATGAAATACAGTTTAATATCGATTCGATAGTCATGTGCATCTCTTCCAATATATAGCGTTGATCTCCATTTAAAGCTAACTCACTTCTTAAACTACTGGCAGTTCTTTTGAAAAACTTTCCCCCCTGCGGGGAGAGTTACAGAGTCTCCGGATCCACCTCTAAATTATCTGTAATAAAACCCGGATTGGAACCGTGGACTGGAATTCAGCCAACAAGACTTCCTTGAGCAAGGAAGGCGTTAGCCTTCGTCTTCGAATCCTTTAGACATCATGCACGATCACTTAAGGTTAAATCACAAGGTGAATAATTTACTTAATAAAGAGAGAATGGTAATGTAATGTATTTTTGGTCATATATTTTCATTTTCATGTTTTATTTGTCTTAACTGTGGGCTGAATGTTCATTGCGATGATGTGATTGGTTGAGTATCTCAGCCATCTGCATTGGCACCTTTATTCTACCTAATTTATATTGATTATCTAGACATTAATAGACAGTGCAGACAAGGCAAACAAATTCCCAAACAATTAGAGAAAATTCGAGATTTGGCAAACATGTGACAGGAGGCATGAAGACGGCATGAAGAAAAAAACCTAAACTATAAATTATATCAATCACAAAACACGAAGAAGACTTACTGTATGTATGTGCATCATACTGGCCCCTGTATCTTACCTGTATTTGTTCCAATTGGAAAATTAATCAGTAGTGGTAGTTGATTTAACTGAGTTGCCTGCTTGTATAGGCTTTTGATTTCAAAGGAACAAAGAAAAGATCAATTCAGTGTTGAGAAATAGAAGGGACAGAAACAACATACAGAACATCAAGTACTGTAGTGAATAGTAAGTAATAGTAAGTAAGTAGTAATATTTTTGAATAGGTGAACAGACAACATATTAAACACTCCCATCTATCTATTTGCTAACCAATTTATCCTATTCAGGGTTGCCGGGGAGTGGGAGCCCATCCTGG